ATCAAACACATTTGAATTCATTTGACACGGACGTACAAACATAAGGATTTGCAGAACGACTCAATATGGATGCAAAGCCTGGTTTGCGATCACTTTTATTGGCCAATATTGAAAGGGTTAAATGTAATATAGTGAAAAGTTACTACGTGTAAATCTTGGGTGAAAATAGAACATGTATTCATTTAGTTAAGTAACTGCGCGTGGCAAGGAAGGGTTAATGTGTTTATGTTTTTATTTGTATTGCAATCGGAATTGAATATGAAAACAATCGCTCGCACTAAGCGTTTCGATGACTCTTTTATAATAGAGTCATCGAAATAAAGATACTGTACTGGAAAAATGGTTTGATTATGGCTTACACAATAAAATATGAAAAAGAAAATTTCTTTACGTAAATCGATTGCGTTACTGATTTTGAGTCGCTCCTAAAAATTTTGACACTGTTTACGAGTCACCCTGTATTTGAGATTTCTAAAGTGCCTAGAAAAGGGTCTTGGTACTAATGAAGAATTTGAATTAGATTTTTCATTTGTGTTTTATGTCTTGCTATAATGTATTGTTTCAGTATTAATTTAAAATTCGCGATAAGAGCATAATATCTATACGGGCAAAGCCGTGAGCAAATTGTCATTATACAGGGTGAGTTTGAAATTGGTGGCATCCTTCTAAATATAATAATAATATGTATTAACTCAAAGGTGACTGACTGACTGATTGATATAGGGATCTATCAACGCACAGCCCAAACCACTGGACGGATCGGGCTAAATTTGGCATGCAGGTAGGAGTTATGACGTAGGCATCCGCTAAGAAAGGATTTTACGAAACTCCACCCCTAAGGGGGTAAAACGGGATCCACGCGTACGAAGTCGCGGGCGGTCATTCGGCGGTACATTCCCTAAATATGAGACAAATCGAATCAATTAAAATTTCAACATTTTAAATCTTGTACAGAAAACAGCATATCAATCTTAATACTGTGGCATCTTATTTCGATGTATTAAGTGTTATTTTGCAACGAAATGTATAGGCTGATGACTGTACAATAGTTTTAAGCTCTTTAAGAGCACTCTAATACAAATAATAGTAAAAAATGATGTCAAAAAAACTCATTGGATTTGTCTCATATTTGGGGAATGTACTATCACAGATAATATAATACTAGGTACTATGTAAATCATGAGTAGTCTTAAATACATATTTTATGGATGCCGACAATTTCAAAGTCACCCTGTATAAACTCAATCACATTCTAAGCACGTACCAATAAATGTCATTTTATCAGTGATTATTGCCGATAACAACTTAATAAGATCACTTATTATATCAATAATTGTAGCATAACGACGTCATGAAGGTTACGGTTCGAGGCTAGTTTCATATAATTTTTTTCAAGTTCATATTATGTAGTTTACATAAATAGATATTCAGCATTGTTTTTGGGCATTTCTACTGTACGGTGTATTTTTTCTCAATTCGGTGCTAAAATTTATATTTAGTTTTTTAAGTAGTTTCAATACAAAAAAATAAATGTTACTCCATTCTGAACGTAAAAATAGCATTGTCACTAAATATTGTGAAGTGGTTAATGAGAAATGTTAAGCATCGAATTGAGAGAGCACCGAATTGAGAAAATGAATCACGGAATTGAGAAATGAATCTCCAAATATAAAAATCGCTTCGCAAACTTAGAATTGATGACATTATGAAGAAATACCTAATGTTTTTCAATAATTAATATAATAAATACTTAAAAAGTTTTGATATCTGATTGCTGGTCTATTAGTTAGATGGTTCATTTTAGGTTTATGTGTCTGAAATACCAATGGAATAAAACAAAAATCCTAATCAATATGTTTAATTTTTTAATAAGGAACTATAATAAATTCTTAATTTTTATATATTATTTTAATTTTGTTTAAATAAAACAAATAAATACATAACACATGGTCTATTTGTTTATTTATTCTTAACCTTAAACATAAAATAAATATTGCAAAACCCAAGAGCTAGATTGACATGACACTATACCGAAAATATTATATCGGACGTCAGTTTGTACACGATTAAAATGGCACTCAAATAGCTGAAATACAACAAGGCACCAGGTGTTACGGCATTATAGCTGAGCTTCGCTGGTACTAAAGGCTCTACAGAAGCAGTTTAATTCCCTCATTCTCGAAGAAAAAACGCCTCCGGCATGGCACAGAAGTGTGGTGATAGCACTCATATAGACTCATCTCACTTATGAGGCGTGTTTACAAGCTGTTTTCGAGAGTCCTTACGAATCATCTCGCTCGCAGACTCGACGACTTCCAGTCTTCCGAACAAGCTTGTTTCCGAAAAGGCTTTAGTATTATGGTACACACACAGGTACGCTACGGCAAATTATACAGAAGACCAAGGAGTCGCGATATCGGGGATGATATCGGAGTCATGGCCTCCGTAGAGCCTTTCAATAAGTGGGTATAAAATTGAACATGGACAAGACAAAAACCAAGTCAAATGTCCGTGTTGCACCCACTCCTCTGAAGGTTGGAGACTACACTCGAAGTTGTTGACAATTGTGTACACCTGGGACAAGAGTCCAGATAGTTACGTCCAACTTTGAGAAAGAAGTCTATCGCTGAATTCAACTCAGCTAAGCATCGATCGGGAAGCTTCGCTATTACGTCTGAAATACCGTAACGTCTTAAGACAAAAGTCTTCTACCAGTGTGTGTTGCCAGTGATGGTGTATGGATGTGAAACTTGGTCGCTTACTATGAGCCTAATAAGAATCAGAAATGTGAATATCGGCAAGATAACCAAAGTGACCGGCATAGCCCGTAAAATTGCATAAATCAAGTAGCAGTGGGCGGGGCACATAGCTCGTACAGATAATGTCTGTTGGGACTGAAAAGTTGTCGAGTGGAAACCACGGACCAGTGAGCAGGCCCCCACTAGGTAGACCGACGATCTGGTGAAGGTCGAGGGAAGAACCTGGAAGAATTATTTTAATAAGATAGCAATAGCAGTGTATTTTTTTTAATGAAACCTCAAAAAAATAGTTTTATTGTCTTCTGTCCAATGACTGGTACGGTCCAATGATTGGTAGTTCACCCTATTATTATGCTCTATTGATTTCATTATTATTTTAAGTTACACAAACAATTTATAGCACAATAAAAGTATCTATTTTCATTTAATATCAATTCGGTGTACGTGTTTTCTCAATTCGATGCCCCATATTCCGCGGAATTGAGATCCACGGAATTGAGGAAAAATCACATTTCATCAAATTACTCGAAAATATTATAAATTACAACGATTTCTACCAAACGTAATGGCAGATATCAGTTAAATACTTAATTAATTCAGCAGTAATCTCATTAAATACTTCATGAACATTATTAATGTCGCACACCGGTTTGAGAAATGACCAGTGACCAAAAATTCTGAGTGATTTCAAACCTCTGAAAAATGCTCCTCAAAGCGACTGATCCCTCTTTTATACTGCTCGACCACTCGAGTGCAACTGCTAGTTTATGGGAATCAGGCGTGGGTGTTCGTATTGTGCGTTGTTAGTGATATAGGAGCACAAAAGTAAAAATCACGGAATTGAGGCACACACGTCGGACAAAATTTAAATGTGTTACTGTATTAAAACCCAAGGACTTGCAATAAAGAAACTCATTTATATAGCTTTATTAACTATCCCTTGTTCTGTGAATGTGGGTTTCATAATGGGGAAGTTATTATTTCAAAAGTTATGAAGCAAAAACGAGTAAATTCTGGAAACCGGACACTCCATTTTAGGCCAAATTTCGCCCGTTTTTGAACTTTCGGATTTTTTCAAGGCGAGATGTAAAACCTGGCGGTCTTCTAAATATGCTCTCCATCAAGTCAAGAGTCCTATAAATACGTGTGATTTTTTTCAAGTCCGTACTTCAATTTTAAAGGTACTTTTTTCGCCCCAGTAGGTCGATCGGTCGTCCCCGTAGAAATGCCCTTTTAGTTGTATAATATTTACAGACAGCATGAAAGTTGTTACAAAAAGTTGGAACTACGTGTAAGTCAGTAGATGATTTTGATGAGACTGTGTAATGTCACAGAATGTTGTAGCAAATACTATAGGGATACAGGGTGTTTGGCGGAAGGTTACACAAACTTCGTGGGTGTATAGGTAAGGTCATTTTAAGAATACAAGTTCGCCCATTTGACCCTAAGTGAGCTAATTTTTTCAGCATTGTTTGAAAAAAAAATGTCTATAAAATATATTCGTGAAGGAATTTTTTAAATCGGTCCTATAGTTTTTTAATATATTCCTTACAAACATACAAAAATACAAATCATTCTTCTTTAGAATATAGTTGTTGCAATTCACGAAGGCGAGTGAGCTTTACATGTGGTGGCTCGCTACTGTTCGTTTTTCATAAGTTTTGATAGACATTACACTATCGTTATTTATGTGCATGTACACGTACACACACAACTATACAAGTAAAGCTCACTCGCCTTTGTGAGTTGCAAGAACTATAGATTAATAATAAACTTCACTTCTTTATAGCAATGTTTAGCAGTGTTAATTACAGTGGAAAATGTCTGGTAATAAAAATACTTTGGTATTTTTAATAAAAGTAGTACCTAAATTTTACGTAATAAATCAAAAGAAACTGGACGAAAGGACAAAATTAAGGAACGATTTTCGCGAAAAGACATAATCATTCTATTTCAGTTAAAGAAAATATAGAGTTACTTTTAGTTTATTTATTTAGTTAAATCTGTCAAAATATACATATACGCCCATATTCACAAACGATGCTTGCTTATGTGAAGCAGCAAATCGAACGCACAGCGTAGAACAGAGCTCTGTGATTAGTTCTTGTGTCACCCTGTGCGTCCACGCGCACTGTGAGACCTCATAGTAATGTTTGTGAATACGAGCGATAGTACCTCTTTTCGTTTATGAATTGGTCTCTTGAACCAAAATAAAAAAAAACTGTTTAAGTTTAAACTTACCTTTGACTCTGAATTCGGAGTGGTCCATTTTTATTTCAATGAATTATCTGTAACAATGTAATTTCCATATTAATAACTGCTCAGAAAACAGATAAATAGTAATCAGTAGGTAGGTAAACGTACATAAATACGTAACAAATACATTTTGTATAGAATTTTACCTTTAAGTTAATTAAAATTATAAAGAATAATAACGAGAAGATTAAAAACTGGAAAAGATTTAACTAGGAAAAGACTGTCTAAATAGTGCCTTAACCACTTTGTTTCTTGGCCATGTAAGTTTTTGTGTTTCCTTCTTCTTCATCTTGTCGTGTCGACAACAAACCTACACAGTGTCGCCTAAAACTCCGCTACAAGAGTGGCGTTGTCAGTAGCATTCATTAAATCTTCCTGCGTGCAGTTGTTTGGGCACACAGGGCACGTCATGTGCTTTATCGACTGGGGAACACAACCACACTTGCCCTCCAAGTTTGAACCATCTGAGAATCCCCACCTGAACAGATTGTCCTTACTACGGCCGACCTGCGTCCGAAGTCTATTTAACCTTCGGAAGGCAACAGGGGTGACCAGTCACCCCACTAGTTCAAAAAAGTCTTCATACGCTTAGTTGCAGTTGTTGTGTCTTTCTGTCGTTTGGTCTATTCTCTAATTGGAGGGAGAGCTATCAGTCGCATGTGTCAACATATCGCGTTAGGTTCATGTTTTTGATATTTTGACACTGCTGGGGTGACTCATCACCCCTGTTGCCTTTTAAGTATACTTTATTTTTTCGTGTTGCTAAAGTAAATGGTTGGTTTTGGAGTAAAAATGGCTTTGTTTTCGGATGATCAAATCGAAAAATACTTTCATGGACTTGCTGATGTCAATTCCTATGATAAACGCTGCTCAGATGATAATAAGATATCTAAAATTGAAGACAATAATCTCAGTTCAGTCGAAGGAGGAATACTTTATTTCCAATAGCGAAAATTGTTACGACGATGACGTTTTACTAGCACAATTCAAAAAAATGTGCTACTATGTAAGAACAGACATGTTTGGTCTTCTTGGTTTCATCACCTTGGAGTCAAACACCTCGACGAAATATAGTAACTCTTGCGAGAGATGCGAGAATTATAGAGCAATTACACATGGCATTCTAAATATGAACTAGGGACCTCCTGAGGGTGCACCTTCAGCAAAGTTATAGAAGCAGGCAAGGTGTGTGCTGTGTCAAAGAAAACTGAACAAAAAAGTTATGACATCTCGTATAAAATGTCAACTACCCTCATGCCCTGAAAATCGAAAAGACATTTGCTTTAACTGTGCTTTATGTTAAAAATTAATTTATTAAAAATATATAAACTGTTAAATGAAAGCATTTTTAGTTTTATAATGAAACAAAGTAATAGATCTAATCATTAATAAGTTTGATTTTTCATTACAAAGCTATTTTATTTCAAATTATATTTGTGGGGTGACTGGTCACCCCTGTTGCCTTTTACGCATACAAAAAAAGTGTTGCCTGCCGAAGGTTAAAGACTTCCAGGTAAGCCAGGGGAGCTCATGTCCAGGTGGAGGACGCTAAGACATAGGGACGAAAGGGCAGGGAAGATCAGCTCATGACGTCATAACCTGAATCTCTCTTTTGACCGATCGTCATCAAGAAGAGTTTTTTATGTTTGACTAATGGCCGCCCGCGACTTCGTATGCGTTTTACCCCCTTAGGGGTGGAGTTTCGTAAAATCCTTTCTTAGCGGATGCTACGTCATAACATCTACCTGCATGCCAAATTTCAGCCCGATCCGTCCAGTGGTTTGGGCTGTGCGTTGATAGATCACTATGTCAGTCAGTCAGTCAATCAGTCACCTTTGAGTAAGATAGATTAAACGTATTTAACCCACATGTTTAACTAAAAAACCGTCCAAATGAAAATTAAAATTGGTATTAACCTCGAATGAGCCGTATTACTATAATTCTTTAATCTTGTACAGACAACAACCCATCAAGCTAAAAGCTATGACCTTAAGCAGTCGTTATAGGGTTCATTTTGCAGCAAAAATATTGAACTAACGTGCGGTCGTCTGTACACCAGACATACCCGCGTAGAAGCCATACAAATGAAGGGAAACTTGTACATTGTGGATAGTGTTGCTATAGTTTATAGTAAAACTGACTGTAGACTGCGACTTCGTCCGCTTGAATTTCATCATCATTTCAGCCACAGGACGTCCACTGCTGAACATAGGCCTCCCCCAATGACTTCCACATCGCGCGGTTGGTAGCGGCCTGCATCCAGCGCCTTCCTGCTACCCTTATGAGGTCGTCGGTCCACCGCTTGAACTTGGGTCTAACCAATCAAGCAATTTAAATTCAAACTCTTTATTAGTATGTAGGACCTTTTCAGGGTACTAATCCCTACACTTCCCAAATATAGCCCACCACTTTAGGACAACATAATATGGGCTGATGCTGAGAAGAAGCGGCGAAAGAAACTCAGTCATATCATTAAAATCAGCCCTTAGTCAATAAAGTTAGTAAAACTTCTTCACACAGCTTATTAAAAACTTATATTTTCATAATAAAGACTTATTATAGTGAGACGAACCAGTAAAAAAAGCTCAATAAAGTTCAAAAGTAGATAGGAAACAAATTATTAATTATTACGCAAAAAAGTTTCTCCTTGACATTTGACCTACATTCAAAGTACCCAATTTTTATTGCCTCTATTTATTTTCAAAAAAAGAGAAAATCTATTTTCTCGTACATTTTCACTTAAAAAGCCAAGGGACGTGGGCAGTACAAACACAGGGGTCAATACGTACTCAATACATCACATAATCTGTCATTGCTAAGTTTCGATTTAAAAAGACCTTTCTATATTGTTTGTTTCTTTGGCTATTTCAGACTGAGAAGGTGGCTATATTATTTTTTGTTGATTTTTATCAATATTGATTTCGGTTAGTGTGTATTTACTAAGGTTTTAAGCTTGGAGGATGATTTCAGGCAAAAGCTACTGGACGGAATTTTGAAATCAGGCAATGTAAAATAGTCCAGTCATTACGTACATTCAAAAAAGAAAATGAATTTGCGCTTCTAATTTTTTAATATGTTGTAGGGGATACCTAGAAAAGCTTAACTTGAGATTGTCGACCAAGCTTTCCTAGGAGCTTTCGCCGCCATGTTGAAAAAAGGGGTAAAATTTGTTTTTCGGCAATAACTCGGCTATCCGATGAGACTCGAAAATGTTTGTAGGACACTTTTTGTAGCTTTCTTTGTGCTCTACAATAACGCCCGAACCATTTTTAGCGTATCATGCATCGTTATCGAGATATCGATCGATAAAGTCAAAAATTTTGGACACAAATTATTTCGGAATAATTAAATAATTAACGTCAGATACGTACAACATAACTTCGAAGGAAAGGTTGCAATCATATTCGACGGTTATCCGACTGATATGACACTCGCTGGAACGAAAACTTCGGAAAGAGTACGACGTTCGAGAAAAAACCAATCGCCGGAGTTCACATTCGATGAGACAACTACTCCAAAAGTTAGCCAGGAGAAGTTTCTCACAAGGGATCAAAACAAGAACCAACTAATACAAATGCTTTGCCGTTACTTAAAAAAAAGTAATTAAAAAGTAATTAAAAGTAATTAAATTTTACTTTTTACTTTTTAATTAATTATTTAATTATTTCGGAATTTTTCATATTTATTAAGACCCAAAGAAAAAAAAAGAAAAAAACAAAAATTGTGTCCAAAATTTTTGACTTTATCGATCGATATCTCGATAACGATGCATGATACGCTAAAAATGGTTCGGGCGTTATTGTAGAGCACAAAGAAAGCTACAAAAAGTGTCCTACAAAAATTTTCGAATCTCATCGGATAGCCGAGTTATTGCCGAAAAACAAATTTTAAGCGTTTTCCAAGATGGCGGCGAAAGCTCCTAGGAAAGCTTGGTCGACAATCTCAAGTTAAGCTTTTCTAGGTATCCCCTACAACATATTAAAAAATTAGAAGCGCAAATTCATTTTCTTTTATTTGCCTTTTTTTCGGACGAAATGACTGGACTAAAAGCTCTACATCAAAAAAGCTCTAGGGCTTAGTTTGATACCTTTTTCAAAATATACGCCTAATAACTTACGTAATACTTTTTGTAACATTTAAATTATTGAATAACGAATGAGTATTGGATAAAATCCTTAATCATTAGATTGATTCAAAAATCTTAATCTAGTAAGTCCAGTTTTTCCCAAAATTTGAAGTAACCAAAGTTGACATCAGAAACCTAAGCTATTGCATGACTGAATTTATTTTTAGTGTCTATAAATGTGACATTTTTATATAGAACAAGGCAGGTATTTGACCGCAATCGCACCTGATGTTAAGTGAGATGCAGTCTAGGATGGTACATATCTGCCCTGTAAGTGCTAATTCACTCTCGCCTTGAAAAGGCCCGGATTTCGGGAAAGATCTGGCGCTCTCAATTTTGTTTTTTTCATTTAATTTTCTTTTTTTTAATTGACCGTTAACTGTTACAATCAAATGAGAGGTTTTTTTAACTAAACATTATAATTTTAACAGTTTTCATGCACACCAAACTGCGTCACCAGTATTAAAATAAAACCCAAAGCGTCCTTTTCTGAGGACATTAGCCGAAAGATGACAAGTCAGAATTAGGGTCACTTAACATAAATAAAGCAGGGATAGTATAATACGTTCAGGATTAGGAATAAAGAAGCCATATTTGGAACAGAGTTTAAAATAAATACTAAAAACTTTAGGTGCTATTTTTCAATAAAATTAAGCTGAAACTTGATTCAATCTTGGTCACAGTCAATCTATTTTTGAGATTGAATTACAATAAACTATTTATTTGGAAGAGCAATATTTAAGTTATTTTTTTCTAGCGTTATGAGTTGAATGTTTTTGTGATTCCCCTTTTTGTGATATTAATTGAATTTCCAGACTCATTTTACCCGACTTAAAAATAGGAGGTTCTCAATTCGATTGTATGTTTTTATCTGAAAAAATACATGTAAAAAAAAATTTAATGTCACCAGCTGGGTAAAATTTCACCCCAACTGTGGGCTTATTCGACCGTAAATAAATATCAATCGGATCTAAGTAGTAGCCTTTGTGGGAACGACGAGGACAGTTTCTTTGTCCTTGTTAATTTATTTAATTGGGAAAGAAACAACGGTAACTGAAAATAATTAAGAAATAGGAAGTGAGGGATAGACGTATTGAAAGTAGAATTTAATAAAAGATGATTTAAAAATTTAAGTCATGATCATCATCATCATTTCAGCTACAGGACGTCCACTGCTGAACAAGGCCTCCCAAATGACTTCCACATGGCACGGTTGGTAGCGGCCTGCATCCAGCGTTTTCCTGCTACCTTTATCAGTTCGTCGGTCCATTTAAGTAATATAATAAAAATGAATTATTGCTATACGTTATTCTCGCTAAACATGAGAATGGCAGGACAGATTTGGCTGATTTGTTTTTAAAAAAATGTTGTAATCCAGGGAAAGTTTAAATGGTGAGAAAACATGGGAAAATTTACGAATTGATTCTACTCGTATGAAGTCGCGGGCACAGCTAGTATCTTACTATATCTAAGCCTAAAAAAAATGCTTTATTTAAGTAATTGAACAGACTTAATTACATTTTTAAAAGATTTAATTAGAGTTAATGAAAACAATTTTTTTATTGCAATATTTTTATTTATTTATATTATTCTTTTTTGTTGTATAAAAAAACTGTAATAAAAATAAATAAGAATACTCGTAAGTCCAATTCATCATTTCTAGCTTTTGGAAAACCGTTTCATCCCCTTAGGGGGTTTTATTTATTTATTTAGAAAATATTAATATAAGATTAAGACTGCAGGCCTCTTTATAAAAGTACATTGTTGTTTGAAGAATTTTGGAAAATTTCTACGGATGTTTACGTCGTAAGAATTTTGGAAAATTTTTACAGATGTCTACGTCATAATGACTATCTGTGTATCTTCCAACGCAATTCCTTGAACTGTGTGTTGATAGATTAGTCAGTAACGTTTATCTTTTGTAAATAGTATTGTATACTACGAGTAGTAATTGTTAGTAATTTTGGCTTACGGTCCAATTTGTAATTTGTTAACATTATTAACAAATAAAACAATAACTAATGATTCAGATGATTAGTCATCAAGTAACTTATCAATTAACGATAAATTCATTTATGCTGGCATTATTGGGTTCCAGTCATTGCGCTTAAATTGTTGTTAGTTTATGACAATTAACTAATAATGTGTAAATGTCTGACAATCTATACTAATATTATAAATGCGAAAGTAACTCTGTCTGTCTGTCTGTCTTGCTTTCACGCCTAAACCACTAAACCGATTTTGATGCAATTTGGCATAGAGATAGTTTGAGTCCCGGGAAAGCACATAGGATAGTTTTTATACCGGTTTTTGAAACAGAGACGCGCGCGATAAAGTTTTTCTGTGACATACAAAATGCGGGCGGAAAGCTATCCCAACTAATATTATAAATGCGAAAGTAACTCTGTCTGTCTGTCTGTCTGTCTGTCTGTCTGTCTGTCTGTTACGCTTTCCCGCTTAAACCTCGCAACCGATTTTGATGAAATTTGGCATAGAGATAGTTTGAGTCCCGGGAAAGAACATAGGATAGTTTTTATCCCGGTTTTTGAAACAGGGACGCGCGCGATAAAGTTTTTCTGTGACAGACAAAATTCCACGCGGGCGAAGCCGCGGGCGGAAAGCTAGTTATCAATAAATTGATACACTTTTTATGAGATAACAAAACGTTGTTTCTCCATAGACTTTGAATGGAAATATCCAAAATTTGATTTCACTTGTAAGTTTATTTTATTTTATTTATTAGGACAATCAATAAAACAAACACGCATACCTACATGAAAATTTTAGTTAATTATTTTCATTGATTTGAAATAACCAAAAAATCAGAACCCTGTATCTCAGGGATCTTCCCAAGTCCATAAAAATTATAGCATTTGTGTATTTTAAATATTTTAAAAACAATAATAAAATTAAAACACTCGCGTATTTTTGATCTTGAAATCTTTGAAATTGACTTTTTTATAGGCACTGAAATTTCAGAATGCTAAAAAAATTTATAACTGCAACCTTTTACAAAATTTTACTGGTTCAATTTCAATAATTTTAACAAAACCGTTTATTCACGGTACAGTTTAATTTCTATAGAACACTGGCATGAAAAATTAAAACTGTCATTTTTGCAATAAAAAAATAATAAAAACAAATTCGAATAATTTTCAATTTAAATCCTGCTCTATATAAAATTGTTCTAAATTCAAATTGAAATGGTATTCTAAATTCAAATACTCACTGGCCAGTACACAATCTTCGAGGGTGTCACTAGGGGTGGTTACAGTACACTGTCCGGATCGTGCCAGTTGTAAGGCTTTTATACGGAGGGCAGTCGCGGTGAGGTGCATGAGCGGAGCGGGCAGCGGAGCGGATAGCGGAGCGGATTGGATTGGAAAAATAATTTATTCACCATGTCGATACAAGAGACTGGAGTTGACTGGACACGTGTGTCCAGTTGGTAAAACTCATTTCTTGGAAATAAATTGTCTTATAAAAATTCATTTCGTCATCTGGACACACCAAGAAATTAATGCATAACTATAGTCTGGTCTGTGAGCACGTAGAATTTTTTCCAATGACCCCAAGCTACCCATCTTTATCGCTCTCGCGTAATTATGTTGCTATCGCGCTCGCACACTCACCAGTCGTACCAGTCGCACAGTCGCGACAGCAATATAATTACGCGCGAGCGATAAGGATGGGTAGCTAGGGGTCATTGGACAAAATTTTACGTGCTCCCGGACCGGGCTTTAGTTGGCGAAAACATAAAAGTGTTTTTTCCCTATTTGTTCCTTCTCCTTCGTTCATTTCATCCAAATGATGTCCACTGCTGGACAAACTAAAATGTGTCCAGATGACGAAATATTAAATGATACTAATTTTAATTAATCAGAAATGAGGAGATCCTTAGGAGAACCAAAGTGACCGACAAGTCACCAAAATCAAGTGGCAGTGGGCAGGGCACATGGCTCGTAGAGACGATAGCCGCTGGGGCAGAAAATTCTCGAGTGGCAACCATGGTCACGGCGTGCGACGTGGGAAGGTGGACCGACGACATCATAAAGGTAGCAGGAAGGCGCTGGACGCAGGCCGCTACCAACCGGGCAGCATGGAAAGCATTGGGGGAAGCCTATGTTCAGCAGTGGACGTCCTATAGCTGAGATGATGATGATGATGAACCATGGACCGGAAGTGTGCGGGTGAGTGCGAGGGAGAGTCGCATTCCAGCGGGTCTATTCCACTTTGATCACCTGGCTTTGATGACCCAGGTGATCAAAGTGGACTTCCAGCGACAATTTAGTGTCCTTTGATCACCCACGGATACGATGCCCTGGGTGATCAAAGTTTTTAGTAAATAACAAAAATGTAAGTGTAAATACAAAACAAAATTATGTAAGTACAACAATTGGAGATGTGACTATTCAGAGGAGGTGTGATTTGTTTGTAGGTGATCAAAGGACACTAAAATAATAATTTAACTGGAGTCCACTTCACCCAAGGCATCGTATCCGTGGGTGATCAAAGGACACTAAATTGTCGCTGGAAGTCCACTTTGATCACCTGGGACATCACAGCCAGGTGATCAAAGTGGAATAGACCTTCCAGTGAAATGCGCAGTTAGCTCGATCGGGTGGTTTGCAAACTGTGATATCCGCCATTTTGTCGCACTCTGCCACCACCCCTATAGCTTGAGGACAATTTAAACAAGCAAAAATGTACAAAATACTTTTAATAGTTTTTCCGTAAACTTCAACCGAGTCGAGAGATCGTAATCGATTGTCATAACAAGATGTTATCGATGTTATCGTAATATATAATCGATTAGAATCCATAAAAACATCAGTGTCACTTCCGTTGGGCGCTATGTCAATATAATTATTCTGGGAGTTGCACTTGAAACCCAAATTTTGGTATAAATTTAGCACGTTTTTTGTTGGGTGTTATGTAAGAAGTAGTGTTGAATTATTTTTGTATTAAAATTTACGATTTTGAACTCAAAATTTGCATGGTATAGTGATTAAATCGTTTTTTTTAAGCAGGCTCAAACGACACTTTTTTATCTTATTATTGTAATGGAAAAGCGGCTCTACCATTACAATAATAAGATCGCCATCCAATAAATATTGCATTTGTTTTAATTAGATACCAAATTTTTTTTGTTTTAATTACTCACTAAAGATTTCCAGAAATTCCGCTAAAAATCTACAAGGGTAACTTTTTGTAATAAATAAAAAAGTTTTTCTTTTATCTATTTAATTATTTCAGAGTAAAGACTCTGAAATAATTAAATATTTATCACACTTTTGTAAAGCGAACAGTAGCGAGCCACCACACATGTAAAGCTCACTCGCCTTCGTGAATTGCAACAACTATACATAGTAATTTCCACATAAGCATACTCGTACTTATACCTAAGGCTGATTTTTCAAGTTTTAACTTAATCTTTATATTTTATCTCAAGAAAAAAATTGATATTTTGACTTATTTCTCATACAGAAACTGTGAAAATGCCAAATATTCGATGATTGAAAAATCAGCCCTTACTTTAAACTTGTCGACACCTTTGCCCGTATTCACAAACGATGCTTGCTTATGTGAAGCAGCAAATCGAACGCACAGCGTTGAATAGAGCTCTAAAATTTATTCGTGTGTCACCCTGTGCGTCCACGCGCACTGTGAGACCTCATAGTAATGTTTGTGAATACGGGCGTTAGGCTGATTTTCACTACCTAATTTTTACGGTAAGTATGACGATCGGGTGTTTTTGTATGGAGTTTGACAGATTTTTGACATTGTTAAAGTAAGATGGTGCAACTCAACCTTACTGTACCATCTAACTGTAGTACAGACGACGGTACTTCAACGTACCCACTGTGGGTTCTTGTGCAGTTGTAATAGGGGCGAGTGCAACAAAAATGGGTAGCCTGATATAATGTCGTGTGTACATTGAGGCAGGCCCAGTCAATAGCAAAATAGGGTATCGTCCATAGTAATTTTAGTATTTCATATCTACAGGGACATCTTAGTCGATCTATATAAATCATACATGTTATTGAATTAGAAACCAGTTCACTCGCAGACGCGCGTAATTATTTATTAAGGCCATGATTTCCCAAATTGTCGATATTTGACCGATTTTGTTTGCAGATAGCTTCTAAATGAAAAGATATTTTAGCAAACAAAAAATTGTACGAGTAAGTTAATGTCTTTAACTAGGGCGACAACTTTTCCAAAACACGATATTGCATAGTTTGTCCGATAAAAAAAAATCCCAAAGAAGTACGTCGACGGCTTTTTTGTTTTACTCTCATATATTCATTTTTAACATTTTACACTTAAAATATATACTAATAGATAGGACTTTGTATTTTCTAGGTCGACAACTTTTCAAACTTTTGTTATTGCGTCTTATTTAGTTACTATGTTGAAAAAATGTGAAAAAATCGGCCATGACGGCTTGGACAATCTTAATCAGTCGCGCGGTGGCGCTTACGGAGGACGGACGCGTGTCAGTTTTATTCCTGTGACAGTTCGCGACTTGTCAATATTTTTGACAAAATCGCCTCTGTCTGGCGGGTGGCGAGTCACAGTATAATAATATCAGTATTACTGGAGAAAGCTAAGAATTTTCAATCATGATACATAGTACATTTTCCAAAATAAAACCAATGAGTTAAAATTAATTTATTTATGGGAAATTGTGAGTCAAGCCTCTGATATAATAATATTTTAGGCTGTTTTTATACAGAAATAAATTTGTTTATTATTATTATTTTTCCACGGTATCTAACCTTGATTTTAAAACTAAGCCACGGGAATATAAAAGGCTTCTAAAGTTCTAATATACTAATTCGCCTTCTTTTAAATGCCACTTAACTATTCCAAAGAAAGCGTCAAATAAAGAACAATATTTATTATGACTTGTCCTCCTGATTTATATGTTACGGTAAATGTGATAAAAATTTTTTTAAACATGCTGAATTATAAAACTAGATGGCGATACAGTTATTTAATTGATACCATAAATAATTATTTTAGAAGTTTACTGCTTGAATCTGAGTTACAAATTCTAAAAGGTCAGACGAGGACCTCTAGGCAAGTTGTTTTGAGGATTGTTTACTATTTCTGGGTTTACAATGATTAATTTAGAGTCATTTGCTTAAATAGAATAGCAAAATGTAAAAGAACATTAGTATTTCATATTAAAATGGAATTTAAATTTTTGTGATCATTTACTATTTTTGTCGGTAAAAAGTATTTGTTTGACTTAATATTATCATCTTTCATTTGACATTATTGATTGACAAACATTTGTGTGCATGAACATTATAATAATATTTGTTTCGGGCTGGGTGTTTTCTAACCATTCTTCTTCTTCCTCGGTCCCTCACTGATGAGGATCGCGACCACAGATAGTGTTCCTCCACAGACTGCGGTCATAAGCTGTGTGGACTGCACTATGCACGGTTTCTAACCATAATATTTATTTATTTATGTTATGTTATTTAAGTATTTTCATATCCCATAGTACAAGCTTTGCTTACTTTGAGACTAGAGGCGCAGTGTTAAAATATTATGTCGAAGGATATTTAATTTTATTATTTATTTATTAACTATTTGAAGATTACGTAAACCGTCATCCAACTTACGGTTTGTTTTTACACTGTGGCGTCAACGCGTCGCGCGAGTGTCAGCGCGAGGTGTGCGGGGGCTGAGGTAAACAAATGCACGGCATCGAGGCGGTAAATCCTAGCCTTAATTAATGATTTGGCCAATTACAACGTTTCTTACGTCACTTTTCAATATTGTATGGGATCGCTAAAACATGACAATATCACACACAATTTGTAATAGGTAACTTAAGGGACTACTCGTTCCCACCGCTGCAACTCCTGTGTAGCCAGGATCTACAGCTTGACCGCCAATAACCCAACCAGTGAAGGTCAAGTTTGTCCCGGAGAAACGTTAGGTACTGTCATTGGACCCGCAAAGATATTAATATAATCACGCTTCCCGTGGATGTCGTAGGAAGCGACGAAGGGACAAAATAAATACAGGGTGTAATTTTTAACAGATTATAGTTAGTTCGATTCCCGGGTGTAGCAAGCAAATTTTTGAAAATCTTTGAATGCAGTTCTATTTCTTTTCAAAAATAAAGGAATGTTTTCTTTGAGAATTTTTTTCTATCTACAATATTAAGAGTACTTTCCATCCAGGTGGCATTACAAAATTCCACACTGTATATGCGATCATCAGGCCTCCCCAACCCGTCTGGCCAGCGTGGGGAGTGTAGGTCAAATCCTCCATTTGCCTCTGGTAAATTAGAGGGTC